ACATCGCTTCATTCCATATGCCTTGCTGCACATTCCCTAGTCCATTTTGCCTCATCTATACACCTTGTTGTCCATGTTATGTTCTGCACTGCCTCATTCTGCACACTGTGCTGTGTGTCTGAGTGTGTTGGAACTGGGGTGTCAGATGTTTGGACAAGGGCACAATTTCAGTGTCATAGGAGTTAATTACCACACATACACCCGTGACCCTATGGCTAGCACTTGGCCTTGGTCTTATACCCTATGAGTAGCAAACTAAAGCAGAATCAGCAGCTACACATACATGCCCACCCTAAAAGCAGTAATTTCTCCAGATAATTTTGTCTTTTGGTGATTCATGCACTCTCCTCTTTTGATGTTGCCCTTTTCTTACTTTAAGCTAATTTCAGTATCGTGTAAAGGACACCTAAGGCCTCATTTACACAGGATGCATGGGGGGTCAAATTAGCTGGTTCCTCTGCAGTTTTAACACCCCCCTCCCCCCAGTCGCCTGCTGCAAAGTCAGCACTGCAGTGCTGAACAGTGCTGTGTACATTGACGCAGCCTCGATGCTTTGCACTGTGGCACAGCAAATAATATACAGCATGTCGCATTTGACAGGTGGTGTCACTAGAATGTAGTAAGGAACAGGCCTGTTTGGTTGCGGGGCAGTATTGCAATAGCAAATTCCCGTGGGGATTGAAAAAAGTAACTGCATTAAGGAGGCCGCATTATCACCACCTGAAAACCAAAAACCCGCTTCTCCACCACCTTCTGAAAAGCAATCCACCGTAGATAGCGTTTCAGAGGGTAGTGGAAGCTGTTGTCTGTGTGAACTCAGTCTAGGGGTCTGTGCCAATGGGATTTCATTGTCATCAGTAAGGATGGGCTGCAAATTGTTCGAAAGTTCGAGTTAGAACCGAACACGGGGGTGTTCGGCTCATCACTAGTCATCAGAACAGCTTCCCTCAACTACAAGTCTATGGGAGTACAAAATCAGCTTGAGGCAGGTCAGAAGGAGGTTAGCTGCATGTCAAATGCGTATGTCAATAAAATGAGAATGATCTCAATCTAAAGTCAGAAGCAAACTAATCAACACAGCCCAAAACCTTTTGACACAGACCCTTTGTTAAAGCTCCTGCATTAGTGAAAATGAAAAAGAACCCAGAATTTATTTGTGTGGGATAGAATGCTTACTCCTTACTTATCTTTTACAAGAATGCTTATTCTTAACTTCCTATTTACAAGAAAACAAAACCACTTGCATTTGCATTTGTATACTTGCACTTGCATTTGCGTAGTAAGAACTTGCAGAAAAAATAACAAATGCAAGGATCAGATGATTGTTCCTGTGCATATAAAGTAATGTTAATTTTATATGTATCGATTCTAATCCTAGACAGGTTACATGACATTGCAAATATTATAGTTTTTACATAATGTCAGTGGAATGAAACAGAGCCTCTCTTGCCGAGCAACATTTAGGTATATCTATATTATATATAGTTCAGGGGCGCAACTAGAAATCACAGGGCCCAATAGCAAAAGTTTTATAGGGCCCCCTCCATAAACAGATTTTGAAAAAAACATTATGCAACACATTACTACAGTGATGTGGTACAAGGCAAAGCTACATCATATATTATTTTTCACCATAACCAATTTGTTGTTTTTTTAACCATAAATCATAAATGGAATTAAAAAAAGTGATGTGTGTTAGCATGCATTGTGTTAAGACAGCCCACTAATCTGTCAAGATACCACAATAAAGCAAAAACCGAACATGACCCTTTTTAAACCACTCACAACAGCACATAATGTGTGCATTTCCTGCTACTGTATTACCTCATTGGGGCGACATTAAAATGATTTATAATACAATAATCTTAACTATTCGTAATATAATTGATTTTTCAACATGCCTCCACTGTTATTCTAAAATCCAGAAACATATTGGAGAGTATTTATGAACAAGTCGAAGAACCATTCATCCTGCAAAACTCCATGAATATTCATTCTGTGCAAATGGAGGATAAAAACTAACGTTGTTAGTATATTTTGTTTGCATATCTTATGTAATATTTGGAAAATATGGCATTATTGCCACTAGATGGAACTGAGGAGCATGGAAATAATGATCTACTTCCTATTCTCCTACACACCACCTAGTAGCCATAATGCAGTTTTTTCTGAATGTTACACCGAATATTGCACTGAATATTATCTATGGCCTTTTGAAGCTCTCAGGGGCCACAGTGGAGGCCCCCTACACCTTGTAAGTTGAGAACCACTGGCATAGAGCAAAACCAAAACGTGGTAGGAATCCAAATTTTTCCAAATCAAAAGCAGGTTTTTCCCCATTGTGGGATTGAGGAATAAAGTTTGTTCTCACATTTGCACTAATTATACCCCCAACCTCATTGGGAGCAGTGTACTAGGGAACAGGGGCACTAGGAGGGCTATAAGTGTGCCCCCGTATTACCATCGAATTGGGGCGATTTATAATTGTAGAGTAGAAGGAACGACAGCCTGCTTCTGACAGCTGGGAGGAGCCAGCCGTGATCTTACGGATGGCTCCGGCTACTTGCAGAGAGATCACTGTCCTTGGTTACCAACTAATCAGGGACACTGATCTCCAGACAGCCTAACTCTCCCTGGCGCTGCATTTTCTTTTTTTTTTACTCTGACACGGAGCCGTGTCAGAATAGAAAAAAAATAATAATAATTTTTGGCCATAGGAATACATTGCTAGATTCCTATTGGCTATTTCAATTTGCAATAGCCAATAGCAAGCTAGCATTGCACCCGCCCTCTGCTGCAGTTCTGTGGCTTTAATCAGCAACCTTTTTTTATATGCACTCTGTGTCAGCAATTAAAAAGAGGAATTGCTAATTTTTGGTAGGCTCTCAGTAGTACACAAATGCCTTTTCAAGCATTCAATATCTATGCCTAGTTTAACTGCCTCCGGGCCGGCCGTAGTAGAAAAACGGCCGGCCCGGAGCTCTCTAGTCAGGGGCGCATACGTGCAAAAAAGACGATTGCGCCCATTACGCCGCACATGTTTCATATTGCTGCGAACGTTGGAGTGAGAGCAATAATTGTAGGGCCATCAATCACTGATAACACTAAACTGATGAGCAGTAAAAGCTTTTATAAACATCAGTCAAAGTACCGCAGCGCTGAACACTGAAAAATGGCCTGGCCAGGAAGGGGGTCTAAACATCTGGTCTTGAAGTGGTTAAAGTAAACATGTCAGAAATATGGAGTTGCTATTACTGACCTCTTCTGAAAAAGTGAGTTTCCTGGCTGTCATGGCCTAAAGTGTTCCTGTCAGGCTCTGAAAAAATCAATCAAAAGTTCCCTTGTATAGAAGAGGTATTATGTCAATCTCTATGTATTTCCATGTCTCCTACCTTACCTTAATTCCAGGGCTGCAGCTTTCATCAGACTTTGGCACTTCTGAATGTATCAGATCACCCACCCTGTGCTGTGGTTCCAGTCTCCAGCTCCGATTTCACTGCAGGAAACAGTAGTGACACAGAGGCCAGAGGAAGGAGCCACAGTGTGTAGTGGGGGGACACGGTCATCCAACACTCCCACAAATGTTGAATTCCGACAAATGTGATCTAATGTATAATATAATCTGACAGCTAAAATAATCTGCACCCTAACACCCAATATAACTCCTAAAGTATGCCTAACAATAGCGTAGCCTAACTCCTAAAATTCACCTAGCATTAAAGTAACCTAACTTTTAAAGTGTGCCTAACATGAGAGTAACATACATAACCCTTAAAGTGTGCCTAACATTAGAATAACATAGCCCCTAAAGTGTGCCTAACATTAGAATAACAAAACCCCTAAAGTGTGCCTAACATTACAATAACAACACCCCTAAAGTGTGCCTAACATTACAATAACATAACCCCTAAAGTGTGCCTAACATTACAATAACAACACCCCTAAAGTGTGCCTAACATTACAATAACAAAACCCCAAAAGTGTGCCTAACATTAGAATAACATAACCCCTAAAGTGTGCCTAACATTACAATAACATAACCCCTAAAGTGTGCCTCACATTAGAATAACATAATCCCTAAAGTGTGCCTAACATTTCAGTTTAACTCACAGGAAGTGACAAGGATATTTCAATTCTGGTAGGATCAGGTATTTTCTGTACTTGATAAAAATGTTCTTAGACTGAAAAATGAAAACAAATGCATCCACCACATCTACAAACTAGTAAGCTGCAACATATGAATTTTTTCTTCGTCTTCATATGACTTTCTTCGTCTGCTATTATATATCGGTGCATCCCTACTCAGCGGTCACTAACTGCAGCTTCTGTCACAGCTTCTGTCATAGAAGCTGTGACAGAAGCTACGGTCTGTCGAGTGCTCCATAAGGTGCGCCGGACCTCCCTGCGTCCTATGGTCAGGTGTGTCTTATGGACCGCAAAATACGGTATATTTACTGTGCAACTGTATAATAATTTGCAAAACATGTTCATAACAGCGACACATCAACGTTTAATAAAATCATGCCATTTGAAAGCAAAGAAAATTACATTCTGTTCATATAGTTTATGGTTGCCTTGCACATTTTAATTCATAATATATTGTGACCTGTAAGATATAAACTAGAGGAAAGAAAATGTTTTTTAGTTTACAGTTTTTATAAACAAGCACTGCTGCTTCAAGTAAAGAGAAAGAAAGAAAGAAAGAAAGAAAGAAAGAAAGAAAGAAAGAAAGAAAGAAAGAAAGAAAGAAAGAAAGAAAGAAAGAAAAAGATAGATGAAGAAAATGAAAAATGATTTCTTCTCCTAAGTAGATAAAGTTGTATTAGTAGTTTCAGTATTCAGTCTTGGCATTAAGTTTCTCTGGAGTCCTTGCAGAATATCCCCTGGTATTTCCTTGTGTGGGAGATAAGGTCACCTCCCCCTCCAGGCGTGGAAAGCAAAGAGGAAGTTTAAAAACTAATAAACTTAGTCTGCTCCGATAGTCTGAAACTTTAGTCTGATTGGCAGCTTATGACAAAGCGATGATAACGTAGCTCTATGGCAAAGCTGGGTCTCTCAATGCTGGGCTGTGTGCCATTGCAGATTGCTATCGTTGTTCATCTACTGGTATCTACAAAAGGTAAGATAAATAAATATACGTGAGCATGCTTTACATTTGTTCTTGTATACACCCACATATGTAAGCACACACATACGTACATAAACACATTTTTTTTAAACACTCATATTATATAAAAGTATAGAAGACTTTCTACTGGTCTGTGAAACTCTAAGGTAGGGGTGGGCAACTCCGGCCCTCCAGCTTTGCTTTAACTACAAATGCCAACATGCCTCTGACTCTGGGAGTCATGCCTGTAACTGTCAGTCTTGCAATGCCTAATGGGACTTGTAGTTCCACAACAGCTGGAAGGTTGGAACTGGCCACCCCTGCTCTATGGCAAATTTTTAATGCACCTGACATTTCAGTGGAGCCCAATCCAACCTCTTAAAGGGCCAAATAATGACTGACTGGGTATATATAGCTACTGTATATATCTTATATACCGCATTGTCATAATTCAATTCATTATACTAAGAGCAGGTTGTAGATCAAGCTGTAACGGAATGATCCCTACAAGAAATGACTACCTAATTAGAATATAGAGAAGTTAATTTGTAAAAGAAATAGTTTTTCTGGCTCTGTGCAGTGGCTGGCAGCCTATTACACAAATATTTTTTTACTTCAGAAAGGATCAAAGAATTGTCCAGACAGTTGTTTAAAAAAAAAAATAACTGGCAAGATGCCTTTAAAGTGGAACTAAAGCCATTTTTTTTCTATTTTGGATAAAGTAAACTGACTAACTCCTGTCATATTTTTGTCATCTGCGTCCCATTGGGGAGATTTCTGTCCTGTCCGATTACAACAACAGGGGCTGAGAGGAAATCCCTCAAAGTGAGGGAAATCCCTGGTTGTCACCAACACTAGTGTCCCCATTGCAAGTTTTCCCCCTCTATTCGTGTTCTGCTGAGAATTCAAGATTTGGAATTTTCTAGCACTTTCACTCTCGGTGATAACGGTCAACAAGACAAATAGAGAGGGTGAATCACCTTAAATGTGACACAGACAGCATTAAAAACTGTGGTTTATAATCCCTCTTCACTCTATCCAAAACAAAAACACATATTGTCTGGACGGTCAATAGTGCCCTATTGTCCACAGCAGAAAGCACAACCTCTCCATCACTAATATTTTAAGTAATATTATGTTTAGTATTTCACTGAATGTTTCCCACAGGTATATAATATATACCTATATACTATCTCAAATCATTCAGTGCCTACCACTGACAATGATGTAAATTACTAATACATATTTGCATACCCTTCATGGCTGGAACATACATGGAAAGTCCCATGTATTGTTTGTGATGAAGCATATCTCCTCTTACTTCCCCAGTATAGTCTGAGAGCTGACAACTTGGAGAAACCTATAGATTCTTCATATATCTATTTCTGTGCTACCAACAGTAATATATATGTGTATATATATATACTCCACTTAACTGGAGTATTTTTTTTAATGAGATACTTACCATATTTATGTTGCTCTGCATAGCAGTTGCCGTTATTTTAATTTATTTGTGTGGACTATTAGCAGACTTCCAAATATCTCTACTCCTATCCAACAGATCAGGTTTATAGGATGTCTCTTGGTTGAAAAAGCTGGTACAAATACTGATCCAGCACAAGAGAAAGATAAAGAAAATCCAAAAACATGACTTTTTTAGTGTTATTAAATACTGTTCATGGTACTATATGTATGTTAATATGCTGAATTATCAAAGTTCCATTAAACTATCTGTGATCATCTTAATTATGACTCTGCCAATTCTATTTTACAAAATATATTTTAGAATGTTAATGCAATTTAATTATAGCTGTCTTCATTTCTGACATTTTCTGTGACGTGTTGGTGGTTTAGCTCACTGCTTCTAAGGAACCTTTCCTATTTCCAATGAACGGCGTTTCCAATATGCTTCTTGCAAAAGATGAGCATTTCCTTTTTATGTATGTAAATGTTCTCTTGCAATTTCCACTTCTTTTTTTAATTGACATACTTGCTCATCAAAGTGTTGTGTGTGAAGAAAGCTTAGGACCCATTCACATTGTTGCTCAGTGCCGTACCGTGCCATTCATATTTCTCTGGCACCCCAAGGCAGTAAGGGAAGGTACCTGCGTTGCAGCACACCACAGTACTGTGCATTGTGGTTCACTGCCTTGCGAAAATGGAGTATGTCCTTTTTTTTTTTTTTAACATTTTGTTGGATTGGAAGCCAATTCAAACCCATTTAAGCCCATTATAATGCCTGCATTACCACAACACATATTAAGACACGTTACATGTGTTAGTACAATGCAGTGCCATTCATTTGCAATGGCACCCTAACACACTAAGGAAAATGCATATGTCTTTTAGAACACAGCACGGTGTAAAACCATGCATTATGGTGCTCTGCCTAGCAAATAATGAGCATGTAAATTTTTGGTGGCTTGGCATTGCTGTAACACAACACACGTTAATACGTGAAAATATGCGTGCACTGACTCAGCGCACCAGGATGCCAAGGTCTGAATTTAAATAGTAAAGTATATCACCAGCACACCAAGGTAAAATCTTCAACGAGTGGTCATTTTGCCTGATGAAGGGACCCTGAGTGGCCCCCGAAAAGTTGCTTTATGACGAGATGTGTGTACATCAATAAAATGATCGTTGAAGATTTTACCTTGTTGTGCTGGTGATATACTTTACTATTTGGATTTGAAGTGGCGACATCCACTATCACTGCAGCACCCACTTTAAAGGGACATACCAGTAAGGAGTCTGGTGGGAACCTCTTTGAAGATCTGAATTTAGGCACAATTTTTATCAATAGACAAACTTCATTGTTTAGAGTTTGGAAGAGTTAAATGGAGTTAAATGTTTGGAAACATTTTCTACCACTTCCTGTTGTGTCCCCAAGATAAGAGGTGAAAGGAAACCATTGTATACTCCATTTAACACTAAAAAAACAAACACATTTTAGCTATTGATACACTTTAAGCGCAGTTTTTCTGAAATAGTTTTATAGAATGTAATGGTAGAGCTGTGGTAAGCAGCAAAGATCACCTAGTTTGTAAGCACTATGTACAGAAATCTTGAGATGTGTTAGCCATGCATTTTTTATGCCTTTCCCTTGCATTCACACCGACTTTCATAGAAAAAACAAAATACAAAACACAACTTATTAATCTAAAAGGCCCTGCATTTTGTCTCTCAGGCATTTGCGGCTGTGGTTTGAAGGGAAGATGGTTGATACTATCTCCATGTGGTTGCTGCATGTGGTTTATTTCAGCTCATAAGAAGAGTTTCCAAACAGTAACCATCAGTGGCGTATACAGGGTATGGCACATATGGCGCATTCCCTGGGCGCCACTTGAAGGGGGGACGCCGCTCATTCTCCCTTCATTTTCACAATTATACTGATTCAGAACAATCACGCTATTTTATCGGTCTTGATAATACATATTTTTGTTTTTCATAAAGTATATAATATGGTCCAATGATGCAATGGTAGTGTAAAAGATATGACTCTGATTTGTAATGGCAGGCATGGTCATCATAGATGGAAAATTGTTATCAAGTCATTCAGGATGTTGTAAAGTAAAATCATAAATCTAAAAAGTCCCCTTGGAAGGCAGAGGGCAAAAGGCTAGCCACCAGTATTGCCTGTGGTCCCCCTGCAGGCCCAGCACTACCGCAAGGCAAGTTTGTTTTTACAGGGGGTCGGGGAGGGGGACGCAAAAATGCACCTTGCCTGTGTAGGCATGAATCCTAGCACCGGCCCTGTCTCCCTGCAGTGGATCTTTTCCCTATTGCTGACTTGTTATGCTTTGTTCTGCACTGTGTCCTTATGTGAAGGTGCCCACCTTGGTAGAGGAGCAGGGCTTTGCTTCCTCATGTCAGGACACTTAAATTTATTTCTAGTATGTTATAAAATGTATTACAATTTCAAAAGAGAAGGCATGTACTGAAATGTTCATGGCAGAAATTGTCACAAGTTCTGAAGATTCATTTCACTGGAGAGTGTGTATCTACATGTCAGAAAGAGTATTCCTCGTAGATTCCCATGGGAAGTTTTCTGCCTGACATACAGTTCACACTGAGAGCAATAAGAGGACTGGAGGAGAAAGTACTTTGCATGGGAAATGTAGAACATTAAATGGGGAAAATAGAATAATATGATATCCTCTTCACTCATCAAGTAAATAGTTATATAGCAAGTTAGAGTGATATCATATTTAACCTTGTATAAAACCAGATAAAACTGATGTAATATTTTCATCTACAAAAAACATTGATGCAAGGACAAAACTCTCTAGCAGGGGTAACCAAACTGCGTGCCTCCAGCTGTGGTGAAACTACAAATCCCATGATGCATCTATCTCCGGGAGTCATATCTGTGGCTGTGAGAATCTTGCAATGCCTCATGAGATTTGTAGTTCCACCACAGCTGGAGGGCCGAAGTTTGGCTACCCCTGCTCTATTGCATGTGACAATCTGACCAAATGGGTAACAAAAAACTTCCTGTCATCAGAACTAGGTTAAAACTTTGATCAAAATACTGTTATGTCATTCAGTATATAACATGGTGCTGTTGTACAGTTCATGCTGCATGTTTCTGATCTGCTTATTATTATACATTTATATAGCTCTGACATATACCACAGTGCAGTACAGAAAACACTGAGCCAGTCACAACCAGTCTCTGCACCAGAGGAGCTTACACTCTAATGCCCCCCTCCCAGTCACACACTATTAGTATTATAATACATTTACATAGCTCTGACATATACTACAGTGCAGTACCGAAAACACTGAACCAGTCACAACAGTATCTGCACAAGAGGATCTTACACTCTAATATGCCCCCACAGTCACACACTAGGGATGCACCAATACCATTTTGTGCCGTATGTGATATACCAAGCAGGGCACAAATCTGGGGATAACTCTGCGATGCATCAGACAGGAAACAGATCAGAACCAAGCTTACATTCCCTGGTTTGTGTGTATAAGTAAAGCTATTTTCTAAATATACAATGCAGATGCCTGCACACAATGGGGTCTATCCACTAAGCTGCCGCAGGCAGCCGAGTGAATGACCGACCTGAAGTGAAGTGAGCCAAACACTGTTCGGCTATTCACTTCAGGCTGGTAAGGCTGATTTCAGCCATACATCGGCTGAAATGCCGATGTACATGCGTTCGGCTCGACTGAGCCGCTCGGCCATGTTCGGGAGCTGTACGGGCTATTGTGAATAGCCCGTACAGCACCCCTTCGGTTCTACTGAACCGAAGGGGTCCTGGGGCCGAAGCTAGCCGAAGGATCGGCCGAAGCTACGGCTAGATCCTTCGGCAGCTTTGTGAATAGACCCCAATGTAATGCTATATACTAATATGCATAATCATAGCTCCCAACTTTCTTAGATTAGAAAGAGGGACACCTTTAAGCACAAATGATGTAGGCAATTGGCACATCAATGACATGCCCTCAGTGATATGGAAAAAAAAACAATCTACATAAAATTAAAACCACTGCTATTTACAAGACCGATATGGATGCCAATGCCTGAGGAAGTTTTCGCCCCTTGTTTGGAACCGCTTCTTCCCTGGGTGCAATATATTACCAACCTGTGCATCCCCCTCCTAGCCATTTGCCTGTATCTAGACTTGACCTATGGAGATCTGGCGGTCCTTTGGGCCCCACTGCCAACTATCTTAGCATTGTACTTGTTATTTTACTATGTTCCATTCTGTCCTTTTCCATCCTTTTTCTTTCTGCGTTCTTCTACTCTCCATTTTCCTTTGTATGCTCTCACGTTTACTATCCCTCTTGATCTCTCTTCGAATTATTTTATTCTCCTGTCCTCGCATAGTTGGTCCTTACCATAGCTCTATATGGCATCAGCTCAACACCCTCCTTTCCAGCTAAGGTGAGAGGAGCTCAAAATCCACTTTCTCTGCCACTATTACCTCATGTACTTCTTCCCACGATTCCTGTGCATTGCTGTTCTGGACCCTTGCCTGCTGCCCCGCCTAGGGCTTTTTTCCCCCTTTCATCTGTACTACCAGGTGTGTTGAGCCCAATTGTTTCAATAAATGAACACTGGACCTATGTTTTTGATTGTCGATTGTTATATTGCTTGCCCAAACCCCCTCCCTTTTTGTTTGTTGCTTGTTTGTGTGTGTGTGTGTGTGTGTTTTTTTTACTATTCTCATTATTGCATTTGGTTATGTTTGCTTTGTTATAAGCTTGCCAATGTACTTTGTTATTAGAAAATTGTTCAATAAAAGTTATATGATATTAAAAAAATGCAGAAAAAATTATTGTTTTAACGCACGCTAAATACCCTTCTTTTATACTGGACTACATTAAAAAGCAGTAACTAAGAGGTTGGACGAAAGGTGTAGTGTCACACTGTTGTGTAATGTAGCATTGTTGGTAGTTAAAAAGTGCATTTTTTTGGGGGGGGTCTACACAACAGACAAAAGAAGTGATGACTGATTAGGAAAGATAAAGAGAGGGATTTGGTACCTAAAGAATGAACGCCTTGGGAGCCATGCATAATCCTCTTCTTGTGTTTCCTGCAGGTGATTTGTTGATGCCTCCAGAAAATGTCAATTTTCAGCTAGGATTTTTTCATCATATTTTGAACTGGTCACGCAACAAATCTGATAGTGATGGGATTTTGTATCAAGTGGAGTATCGTAGGTAAGAGACGTTGGGCTGATTGATACAAACTGGAGAAAAGTAAATAGTATCAAATATGGTATCCTATGGTGGTTATTTAAAGACATTAATGTGTCACTGTGTTTTGACTTTATTCAGCTATGGTTCCAACTGGACATCTGTGCCAAACTGCACTTTTATTAGCCACCTGAGCTGTGACCTAACGGTGGAAACCTTACCCAAGAGCCTTGGTTTTTATGCACGCGTTAGGAGTATTCTAGGAGACCAGGCATCAGAATGGGCCCGTACAACACGCTACACATTCAATGGAGGTAAACATCTATATTTAAAATATTCATCTAGTTACGACACTCCATTATTGATTTTTTGCTGCTCATAAAAATATTAAGAATGTATTTAATATAAACCCTAAATTTCTCCATTTTTTAAATTACTTCACTTATGTCCAAATAGAAATTTAGGCTGGGCTCAATTAAACAGACCTGGGTGCATATAGGTCATTAGTATAAATATGATCTAAACTGTGGTAACTGTGCCTACAAAAGGCAGCCAGAGGGCAAAAGTCTAGCCACCAGTATTGCCTATGGTCTCCCTGCAGCAGAACGTTTCCCCACTACTGACTTATCATGCCTTGTTCTGCATTGTGTCTCCATATGGAGGTAGCCATCTTGGTAGAGGAGCAGGGCTTTGCTTTCTTATGTCAGAGCTTCCCCTTTAATGGCTGGTGACCTTATGACTGCTGGTTAATATTCAAAAAGCAGCAGGAAAGATTAAGCAAGCACAGATAAACAGAATGAATAAGGCAGAAGCAGGAAGACACCTCCACTACAAATTATGAGTTACAGCTTCCTCTCCAGCAAGCAGCACAGTAGTTGCATCACCAAATATCACTCCAAACCTTTTTAAGACTAGCGATCAGAAACAGCAGTGCCTTTGATGTTGAAGATATATGGGTTTAAAGCACAGGAATCCCTGTCACAGGGAGTAGAGTGCTATTTTTCAGTAGGAAGAAGACATAAGATACAGTTTTCAAGGTTCTGCTTAGGCACAATTAGCATTTCTAGATGTTTCCTATAAGACAGAAAATCTTCACTTTTAGAGTACAGATATATCCTAAAATGAACGTGCCATCTTTGGAGTCCAGCACAATTCCATTGATGACTTGATGATAATTCTGTGTAGGACATGTTCAGCCAATAGACTTTGAACCTACACCGAATCAGTGACAATAGTGGCTTGCAAGCATAGAATGTGCATACATATGGGGAGAGGAGATTCCTTCAAAAGTCCGAACTGTTCATCACCTTTATTTTCTAGGGTTGCATTTAGATGCCTTTCTTGACTTTTTTTGATAATCTAATTTAGATTACATCATGATAATTTGTCACAGCTGGCTCATATACAGTAGGTGTACTCATACTTCTTCTGTCTTCTTTTTGCATTGTTTGTGGTTCCCTCTCCAGTCATAACAGGGTAGAAAAGAGGGGATGCTTCCATGTTCAGTGATAAATTATTCCGGTAAACATTTTCTTAACCTTGCAGTGGGGCTACCCCTGCAATGCAAGGATTAAGTGCTAGTTTTTGTCTAGGTTAAAAAAAAAAATTATACTCAATCGATCCTTCAACTCAGCATGCTCCCCAGTCCCTGGAGCCTCTCTCTCCCTTCACTGCAGTGGTCTAAGGTCCCATAAATCATTGCATTCTATACACAGTGTATAGGACGTGTCGGTGCCGAGGGACATACCATTGCTGCGGCGGAGGAGACAGGCAGGAGGGAGTGCTACCACAGCCGGCTGGATTGAAGGACCAGGTGAGTATAACTATTTTTTAACCTAGACAAAAAGGAGCACTTAACCCTTGCAGTGCAGGGGTAGCCCCCCTGCAAGGGTAACAAACATTTTACACAGAGTTGTTTTTTTAATCTTATTTGAAACCTAAGATGTGGTTGATGGCATTGCTAGAAAGATGTACACACAAATATTCGTTACAAGTATCACTTTGCAGGGGAATTAGTGATGGAGGTGAAATTCTGCTGACTTCTATCATCCAATCTGCTGACTACTATCATCCAATCATAAGCAAGCAAATGACATGGTTGGGTAATCTTTGCAAAGGGAATTTTCCCCAAATTCACTGAGCTAAAGGAAAATTCCGTTGCAAAATGAAAACCCTTCCCTTTAGTGAAACAACCCCATTAACTGACTTATTGGGACTTCTATTCCCTTTAAAACACTTGTAGGCTATGTTATCATTTTATACAGTATATGACATATTGTATCTGCTTTTATTTGCTTTGCCTATGAATATGTAGACTGATGACAAAATACATCATTCTCTTGCAGTTGTTCTGCCTCCACCATCTGTACAAGTGGATGTTGATGGCTCTTCATTATTTGTTCAACTCACTCTCCCAAAAATTATAGCGCATAACATCACACAACGCTTTGAAGAAATTTTTCCCGTTAGCCGCATGTACACTATAGATATTCGAAGAACCTCAGATAACCATATGGTAGGTATTTGCTACTATGAGCGCTGTGTTTTTTTTTTTATTGGCAAATTGTAATAAATGTAATAAAACAGTTTCTGTTTTGGGGAGTACTCTGACCCATTCCTCTACACAAGGCTGTTTCAGTTAAAGAAGAACTCTGGGCAAATAAAATCTTAACCCATGCAGTGGGGCTACCCTGCACTGCAAGGGTTAAGTGCTCAATTTGCCTAGGGAGCTAAAAGAACAAAGTTATACTCACCTGAACCCCAATCCCAGCTGGCTCCTAGACCACTCTCTTTAGCCTGCCTCCTACTTCTCTCCAGTGATAGAATGTCCCTCGGCGTCCTCACATCCTATACACTGTAAAGGATGTGATAACTCACCGGAGGCTGAAGGGGTTGGTCTAACCAGGTTCAGATAAGCATAATGTTTTTTTTTAGTCCCTAGACAAAAAACAGACACTTTACCCTTGTAGTGCAGGGGTTAGCCACACTGCAAGGGCTAAGATTTAATTTGACTAGAGTTCTCCTTTAATGTATGTTTTAGGATTTCTTGCTTCAGATTATTTCAGGTGGATTATGTCCAGGACTTTAATGCACCCATTCATTTTGGAGTAATGTCATGTGCTTTTGCCCAGAGATGAATAGACATCACCTGGTGAAGAGAGCATATGTGATAGCGAACATTGTATATGTGTTAAAAGCACAACAGCGTGTACAAGAGTCTGTCAGCAAAAATTTAGGTTTCCCTGTGCATGGTGACCTTAAAAATTAAATAACATTTTAAGAATCAGCCAGAATATTACTTAGGATTCAAATGCATTTCTTACAGCTGTAAGTGTACAGTAATTATTACACATCCTGACTGATCACATGCGTATTGCAAGCCTTTTAGTGTGTTTCCTGTTAATTGTGGTTTATTTATAGGCCGGATACTTGATATTTAAACTTCTACAATATAAAAAGAAACAACATGACCTTTTTATACATATTGGTTAGTTAACATTTATAATAAAGAGTTACAATGCAAAATTACATTCTGTTTAAAGGGAATCTCTCACTTTGCGCATTCAGGTCTTGCATGACAGGTTGTCATGTAAACCTGCCATTCTTAGTGTTACATAGTTACATAGTATTTGAGGTTGAATAAAGACATAAGTCCATCAAGTCCAACCTATTACGTGTTTGCATTTATGTTTAAACAGGTGTGTGCGTGTATATGAGTCCATGTGTGATTTTGCTCTTAAGAGTACTTGTACCCCTGAATGTTATGGTCTCCAAGGTAATCGTCCAGGAGTTTCTTGAATAATTCCACACTTTTAGATGAAATCACTTCCTGCGGCAGCGAGTTCCAGACCCTAATCTTTCTAACTGTGAAGAACCCCCTGCGCCCCGTGTGTAGAATTTTTTTTCTACCAATTTGTGGTGGTGCCCTCTGGTCTTTGTTATGGAGCTAACCGTAAACAGTTTGTTAATAATGTTGCTATCGGCGTTGAACAGTTTATACAAGAAAATCATGTCCCCCCTTAATCTCCTAACCTCCAAAGAGAACATATTTAATTTTAACAACCTTGTTTCATAGTTCAGGCCTTAGAACCCCTTAATGAGTTTGGTTGCCCTCTGCTGGACTCTCTCCAGCTCAAGGACATCTTTTCTGAGTATCGGTGACCAAAACTGGACCGCATACTCCAGATGTGGCCGAACCAGTGATCTGTAAAGTGGCAAAATTATAGACTTGTCCCTGCAATACATTCCCTTCTTAATGCAAGACAGTACTCTGCTTGATTTGTTTACAGCAGCCTGGCACTGCGAGCTGTTCTTCAATCTGCGGTCTATAATTACCCCCAAATCCTTCTCCGTTTCCGACTTCCCTAGTGGCACACCCATAAGTGTATAGTCAATTTGCCTATTTTTAACTCCAAAGTGCATTACCTTGCATTTATCGACATTGAACTTCATCTGCCATACAGTTGCCCATTCCCCGAGTTTTTCCAGGTCCTCCTGTAATGTTACAATGTCTAAATCCGTGTCTACTACCCTCCCAATTTTCGTATCATCGTTTCGTTTCGTATCATCAGCAAACACTGAGACACGACTACTCACTCCCTCCCCGATATCATTAATAAATAGGTTAAAAAGCATGAGGCCCAGCACAGAACCCTGGGGCGCCACTCATGACTTCAGCCCAGTCTGAAAAGGTGCCGTTTGTCGATACTCTTTGTACACGTTCTTTTAGCCAGCTTACTATCCACATGCACACTAATTGAGTCCTACTTTAAGTGTCAGAACTTAAAGTAGGACTGAAGCCAAAACCTTTCTAGTTTTGGATAGAGTAAGAGAGAATTATAAATCCTGTCTATTCTCTGTTGGGGAGATTTCCCTTCACTGATAGCAACAACGGGAAGTGAGAGGAGATCTTTTCAAAATGATGGAAATCCCTGGTGGTCAGCGGGGGCACCAGAAGTAATATCCCCATTGGAAGTTGTCCCATCTATTCCTGCTCTGGTGATAACCTAAAATTTGGGATTTTCTTTCACTTTCAGTGATAACAGTCACCAGGACAAACAGAGAGGGTGAATCTCCCTAATGCGGACACAGATAGTGATAAAAACCTGACAGGTGTTCTAATTCCTCTCCACTCTATCTAAAACTAAAAAATAACTTTTGGCATCAGTTGCACTTGAAATTTGCTCTTTTACCCCCACATGACAGTGTTTAGGTCTAGCGATTGACTGCTCAGGCCTAAACGCTGTGTCCTGGGTGAAGGGGAAGGCAGTCACATACACTTGATATCCAAAAAACACCAGGTATTTCAAGTGGTTCCAACCATATTTCCAATGGTTCAAATGGAGCTGCAGCAGGGGAGTGCAGCAAAGGCATCAGTGGGTGAGGGGTGGTCTTTCCAGATAACTTGTCACTTTGCCCTGAGTAGGCAAAGTATTGTATTGTCCTAAAATAAATCATCAATGCCCATCATTCCTTCATGTCCAGCTCAAAACAATTTTGCTAAGACCATTGGTCCCACCTAACATGCATCTTTCCATGTGTACCAGAGTAAAAAAAGATAATAGCCCGGCCAAATGCTCCTAGGGGGCTGTCAATACCTTGTAGATACTTAGCTGAGTATACACGTTCAACACACCAATTATGATGCCTTTGTATCCTTCTTGTTTTCCCTATTTCTATTGTGTGTGATGAAAAGCTTTGGTCTTTGGTTTCACCATACTGAATATAAGATAAGTTGTAACATAGTAACATGGCACTCATAAGCAATGTGAACAAGAACAGTGATCACAGTCTGTCTTGTTTGAGTAAACGGTGAATGTTGTTTTATTTTTTAAAGTTGAATTCTGGTATTTACTTTCAGTTTAAGCACGTGGAATACTGTGAAACGTTCCATATTGTTAACCTGGTTGGAGGACAGGAGTATTGTATAAAAATTCAACCTTCAATCGCCTCCCGTGGAAATACCGGGGAAGCCACTTCCGAGAGTTGCATTTACCTCCCTGAACAAGGTGCGTTTTTATAACTCTGCAAATGAACACTGAACTGTATACATTTGTATTTCACTTTCGCTCTTCCTGGAGTTAAGCATGGAACTTTATGTGGGCAGCTAACTACATAGTTGATGTTTTACCTGACAAAGGAAATGCTTTTCTGTCCATTTAGTCAAGATAGAATATTTTTTTAAAGCTGCCCCTCCCTCTTCCAGTCTGAATGCTGTTGTACAGGAGATTATGAGAGACTGAAATAAAGTCAAATGAAGGTACAAGTTGCATTTAAACTATGTATTTTAAAAAATAAATAAATAAATAACTGCATTCATTGGTGTTTTTCACATATGCCTGGCATTCACCTTTAAGGATCATGTGGTGTTACTGTAGTAAGAGATAGTAGTAGTGGCCTGTGGCTGAGGAATAAATATGGTGATCGCCTTACAGACTGTCTGCAGATATGGTGATATTGCATCAAAAGGAAAACGTACATGGATCCAATATAAAAGACAAGGATACCTTTAACTCTGCAGTAAGAGTGTATCAATGAAGCTTTTTTAACACTCTGGGGTCTATTTATAAACAATCTAAGCATTTGTAAGAATGGGGCAAAATCGGATGTTCTTAAAGGAGAACCATGGGGCAACCATTATTGGCCATACTTCTCTTCAGGGTCACAGGAGGACAGATACTAATATCCTCCAGTGACCCAAAACTCAGTATATTGCGGACTATTACCCGCTATATCTGGAGAGCACCGCAGCTGGGATGCATCCCGACAATACTGTTGAGATCCACATCGCTGGTGATTGACAGCTGGCTATGCCTATCTAGAGACAGAGCCAGCTGTGCCTGTCCACTCCCCCATCCATCTTTCCAATCAGCACTGGGGGATCAGGGAGGGGGGAATCTCTGCAGGGAGCGGTGACTGTCTGTCTCTGAAGGGAGAGGATCGGGAAGTCAGTGATCAGCGGTATGTGTTCGATCCCTTCCCTATCAATAGAAACCGGCTTGTGACAGCTTCAGTGTCTAACTATGAGGATTAGTGTTTTACACGCACCCTATAATTCTCCTTTAAGCTATTTTTTAAGCTAGTTTCCTTCTTGGTTGAATGTATTCAGGCTACTTTTCTAGGCTATTTTCAAATTAGAGAATTTTAGGTTGCATGTATTCAGGCTATTGTTTTAGGTTATTTTAGGTCAAATGTACTAGTGTAGACTATTTTCTCTTTTGGTCAAATGTACCGTATTTTTCCGTCTATAAGACGCCCCTTTGTATAAGACGCCCCCAACTTTTCTTACCCAAAATTCAGAAATCAATATTTTAAATGATATTATGCATCACACTTACCTCTGAGCCAATCACTTTATTCAGCCTCTGTTGCATCACTGGTTTCTTGCAAGAAATCCAAGTCTTAAGCCTCTGCTCCATGTTTGGCCATTTTGCTGGTTTTCCTCTCAAGGCCTTCTTCTTTTTGGGCATCTTAAGGAGTTGCTCTTCCTGTTCTCTCCACTGTATGATCATACACTCAGTGGGAGGAGGTCCAAATTGTCTCTCTGCAGCTCTATTTCCATGCTCTTTTGCATAAGTGAATGCATGCAGTTTAAATTTTGCAGAGTAAGCCAGCCGCTTTACAGGTTGTTTTTCATTTTCTGACATTTTTATGGTCACAGAATGCTCCGACATTACCGCTCTGGGCACTGTCTAGACATTCTCCCCAGCAACAGCTGACATCAGGTACAAAAGATTTATGATTGGAGGAGAACTGTTATCTAGTTTCTGCAATCCGAAGTTTCACTCATGAGGCTCGTTTGCAGTGGTCTCAGCACTTTCAGCAGTTTCAAAACCGCGGCCCCCGTGTATAAGACGCACCTCTATTTTTAGGTAAACCTTTTTATGAAAAAGTAGCGTCTTATACACGGAAAAATACGGTACTCAGGCTACTGTTTTAGGATATTTTTGGTTGAATGTACCCAGGCTACTCTTGTAAGCTATTTTCATTTCTGGTCAAATGTACTCAAGTTTTCAGCTATTTTTAGCTAAATGTTTTCAGGCTATTGTTGGTGGAATGTATTCAAGCTATAGTTTTAGGTTATTGTTGGTTGAATGTACTCAGGCTATTGTTTTAGGCGACTACTTTGGTCAAATGGCTACTGCTCTCAGCTATTTTCTCTTCTGGTCAAAAGTACTCAGGCTACTATTGCAGTCTATTTTCTCTTGCAGTCGAATGTATTCAGGCTATTGTTTTAGGCTATTTTCTTTTCTGGTGAAATGTACCCAGGGTACTGTTGCAGGTTATATTCTCTTCTGGTTGAATGAACTCAAGTTATTGTTTTAGGCAATTTTTAGTCGAATGTATTCAGACTACCGTTTTAGGCTATTGTTAATTGATGTATTAAGACTATTTTTTTAGGCTATTTCTATTGTCAAATGGCTACTGTTAACAGCTAGTTTCTCTTCTGAATGAATTACCCAGGGTACTATTGCGGGCTATTGTCTCTTCTGGTCGAATGTATTCAGGCTATTGTTTTAGGCTATTGTTGATTAAATGTACTCAGACTATTGTTTTAGACTATTCTGGTCGAATGTACTCAGGCTACTGTTTTTGGCTATTGTTGGCGTGATGTATTCGGGCTATTGTTTTAGGCTATTTTTGGTTATTTATACTAGGGATGTTCAGATACCAAGTACCGTACTCGGTACAAGTACAAGTACAGATACTTTTAGACTAGAGAAAAATTCAAAAGTTAGGAGGAGATGTCATTTTTAAGGAGCATACGGAGCTTCTGGGATTTGTGCATCTCTGTTTAATGTGCATCCCTGTGCATCTGCCGGATTTGTGCATCCCTGTGCATCCGCCGGAGCTAGGTCCCCTGGTAGTTCTTGTGAAAATGCCAAGTATCGGCAATGGTATCTGAACTGATATCTGAACTGATATCTGAACATCCCTAATTTATACCGTCACCTGCATAGTTAATTAGATTCGAATACATACTTACAAGCCTTTTAGTAGGCTTCTAAGCCTAAAAAGACTTCTTACTCACATTGTTTGTTGATCTTTGAGTCAGTCAGTCACTCCCAGATACATTGTATGCAATGGATAAGTTGCAGCGTTAGCAGACAGCAATCCCTACTTTACTATTGTTACTATATTGGATTCTTTTTAGTCCATGGCAGTTCTTTAGACATTGATGTGGGATAAAGAACATATGCATATTATGCTGATGCTTGTACCGCTGTACATTAGGCGCTAACTACCACAACAACATCCCTGCAATACTTTTGAAGATGTTCTTTGAAAGTGTACTTTTAAAGATGATTTTTAATCTTTACATTTTTACCTTGAGGGATTGCAGTTATACAATCACTGTTTTCAGCTGCATGGAGTATTGCAGACAAGCGAGGGCAGATTTCTTCTTTGTACCGTTTACTACAGGAGAGAAACTGGCCTAAAAACATTCAACTAGAAGAGAAAATAGCCTAAGAAATAGCCTAAATATATGCCCCCAAAACAGCCTGAAAAAATTAGAATAAATACACGCCCCCCCAAAATAGCGTAAAAACAATAGCCTAAATGCATTTGACCAGAAGAGAAAATAGCCTAAAACAATAGCCGAAATACATGTCCCCCAAAACAGCCTGAAACAATAGCCTAAATGCATGCCCTCCAAAATAACATGAAACGATAGCTTAAATACATTCGACCAGAAGAGAAAATAGCCTAAAAAAACAATAGTCTGAATACATTCAACCAGAAGAGAACAAAGCCTAAAACGATATCTTAAGAACATTTGATTTTGCCCCATTCTCACAACAGCTGGTTAGTTTGCGCACAACAAATGTACATGCAATCTCGCTGAAGGAATTGCAAAGCAAACATTTTATAAACAGACTCTCCCTATGTTTTTCATGATACAACTGCCTTCATGACTCATTACTGTAGTATGTAGGACTTTTGCAGATGGCACAATAACTCTTTGTCATAAATTGCATTCATCTGCATTTAAGTATTTTCTGGACTTTGACTATAGAACCTCTTTCATACCACCTCACATGAATACTCCCTCTTAAAATGAATCTCACTTTGTGAGACCTTGAAAATAAATTGTATCTATACAGCAAGACATTCCTTTGAAGGGTTTTTCATTGTTACAGCATACACACAAATGCTTGAGATGCCTCGGGGTGCAGGGACATCACGCAGACATAGATGTGTATGCAAAGTGTGGATGTTGTAGTGGGCTACCATGATTATCTCTTCTGCTGTAACTGTCTGGGAAGCACACAGTGTGGAAGAGCTGGACAAATGTACAGAAATGCATATTAAACTATTGAAAGTTACATTTCCGTCAAGTACCATATCACATGGCGATTTCAGAAGGTTGAGCCCAAGATAACTTCTGTTTTACTCTTTGTCTCTGCAGGTGTGTCAAGTAGTACTCTCTTGGTGGTGGCATCCTGTATTCTAGCTTTTGTGGTTCTATTGATCTTTGTCAATATCTTTATCTGTCTTTATGTTCGAGGAGTTGTCAAGACACCCAAAACTCTAGTGAGTAAACAGCACTTTACAAATTGACAAACTTATGTTCATATCAGGAAGAGGAAACAGTCTACAACATACTGGCTCTTCTTGATTAAAATGTGTACATTGCAACATACCAGACATATTCTTCCTTTCATTCTCAAACTATTATTTTCCAGGGTGTAGCTGAATGTGATTCATCACAATGGATGAATAAACAGACAGTTGCCATTTCAGACACTTTAAAAATCTGGGCCAAAATGTCTGTAGTTTGAACATGTAATGATATAAGAATGAAACTTTGAGATCCATGCAAAATATTGCACAGTCCACTGTGTACCTATATTATAGCATTAAGAAAATGAGTAAAAGTGACAGGTTTACACATGTTTACACCACACACACACCCCAACCCACTGGTACTCACTTCCCCTGCACTTCCCTGCTGCTCCGTTTTTCTGTTGGAGCTCTTGGAAATACCTAATGTGTTCAGGTAGGGGGGCCCCATGTGATCTTATCCCCCTCTTCCGAAGGTGCAGTCCATTACCATGCCAAAACACTTTCACAATGGGGAGTACCTAACCCTGTGTTGTCTACAACATGGAGCACAAAGTTTAGACAGACATCTCCAACAGAAGAAAAGAGTAGCGGAGTTAAAGCTGAGTTTAAATGGGTGGGGGAGTGAGTTTTCAAGTGAACTTAAGGGATTCCCTTTGAATAAAGCTCTTGCATTCATAGTAGAAATTTCTCTATTTACTGTAAATTGGCATCTTCTTTATGGTAGAAAATACATATTCTCCTTTCTTCCGATGCCTTCACATGCTATTCATGCTGTCTGCACATACAGCATGTTGTTTGTAAGACAGCTTGTAAAAATACAAGTCATGTACACAGTTTCCGCAATTAATGATGCAGGTACTGACTAGGTTATATCACCGGTGGTGATATATGGACCTCTTAGTCACTATGATCCTTGTACAATGACTGCAGGATATTACTGTACTCCTGCTACCTGCCAATAGAGGAACATGCAGAAACAAGACAATTGCATGTGCAAAAATGTAGAATGTGCAAAGAAAGTATGAAAAAATAATGACCAAATATTTCATTCTTTCTGCAGATGTCTCTTATCCAGAGAAGTTGGTCATGGATGGATAAACCATCATCTCCAGTTATTGAGAAAACCCTGCACTGGGAAAATGGCCTGATTGAACATCTCATGGCAGAGCACAGGGACTCTCTGGTGTGTAGTAGTGCAGACAGTGGGTTTGGAAGCCAAATGTTTGTCATCAACATGTCAAAGTCCTCTCGAGATTCCTCTGTAGATGAAAGTGTGTCAACATCAAAATCCAATATTACAAATATAAACACACAAGAGGAGGTCTCTTGTGAAAGAGAAAGCTCCAAAGATGAAGACAGTGGTATTAGCCTATCAACAGGCTCCCATAACCTCAGTAGCTGTAGTGATAGTAGTGATGATATAGACAGCCAAAGTTGTGGTAACTGCAGTGAGACAGTAGCAGTGAATGAAAGACTGGGTTACCTGAAACAGCAGGAATCAGAGGAGAACACAAACAATTTAGAAATGAAAGAACTGGAACGCACATGGCAACCACCAATGAAAGAATACCTATCACAAGGACAACAAAATCTGCTGAAAAACGATATTGAATTCCCTCACCAGAAGGAATTTGATTCAGAACCATGGACTAAACTCCCGGGGACCATTCAATCTTCATTGCCCCTTACAGTGGCATTCAGCCCATTCAGCAGCAAACTTTGGGGTTTAGGTGTCAATGTTCCATCACTTGGAGATGTAGAACTCATGGATACTAGATCTTAGCAGCAATGGTTGGGATTTTTGAGTGGGTATTACTCCTTTCACTATGGGTAACAGAAAATGAGAAAGTGGTTATGTCTTTTGTAAAACAGTAAAACTGATTCAAATGTAGAATTGATTTAAAAACCCAACCCCGGCCAAATGTTTTTCTGTTTTGGCACAGGGGATGCAGGAGTGGAGAGTAACTTTGGCACCTCAAGTCATTCTTTGTATATTAAAGATCCTGAGCTCTTGAAACTCTCTGCAAGCTATGTGAACTTATATTGCAACATCTTAGAGATTCTGCTTAAGGTGTTTGCTTACAGTTTGGCAGCTTTAAATGTGACCTGAGATTCCCTTTAAACGTGATTTCAGACAGGCCATTTTGGATATTGAGATTTCTGTTAACTAAGTTTCACGGTTTGCTTTCTTCACTAATGTGTAAGTAATGCTGTGACCTTACAGCTCTGGGTTTCTGGGTATGATTGTCACCAGAATCACTACCTGTATATATACTGACCAGGGTTTGTGTGGGTTTTCTTCACATACTCTGACACCACCCCCTACTTACACCCCCACGCTGCATGAATATAACTGGAGTTAATTTACTAAAAGAATATAGCCTGTTTAGCTAGCAAAGTGAACGTAGATAAATAAGGTTACACCGTCTTTTTCCCCAATATTCACCCTGCAAACTGATGATGCAATTTCCAAACTGAACATTGACTTTACTATGTTAAAAGCCTCTATTCAGTTATCAAATCAACTTTAAAAAAAAAAGCCTCGCCTTGTACTATTATTCACAGCTTAATCATCTAAGTCCTATAGTGTTAACTTTTATCCCATGCTACTGAGTAGAGCAGAGTTACAGATTTTCATATTTCACTCCCCTTCATTCACAACCATCTGCAAAGACGGACTCTGGATTCACAGCTCTTATCTCACTGTCTAACTGTCTCTTTGTCATGGGAAAACCCTCCACAGTTTTGATTACAATAAAAAAATGTAACAGACAAAACAGTATGCACATCACCCTCATCTAATATCACTTTAAAATAGAACCCTGGGTAAAATTGTTCAAATCCCTTGTAGTGGGGCTACCCTTGCACTGTAAGGCTTAAGTGCTCATTTTTGTCTAGGTTCAAAAATGGAAAAAGTTATACTCATCCGATGCTCCAAGCAGGCTTACTCTTAGACCGGTCCCTGGAGCCTCTTTCCCTCTCTGGAAAACAATTAGCCTACCTTTATATGTGAGTGGGTTCTATATGTATTGTTGCAACAAGCAGGAAAAACTCTGCATAAATAAGGAGGATGTGCACACCCCATAAATATTTAGCCCTTGGTGGAAGTCATATGCAAGACCCAAGCACTTTACCGTTTAAATGCACCTTTGGTGTAGTTACAGTTAAAACCTAATCCTCCCTGACCCCAGCCAACCCTGAAAGTATTATATGTACCTTTTCCCACAGACCACAGAGCCTCCTAACTGCTCTTAAAATATTTTGAGTCGAGTCCGCATACTCAGCAACTCTATATGCAAGCAATGGAGAGTTGGTAACATGTTGAATCATGGTGTAAGAACTCTCCATAGGATTGAATGGAGAGCACACTGCACAGGTCCAGCTCAGAAGATTTTGAGGAGTAGTTAATTGGCATCAAGGGCGATATTTCACTGGACTGGGGACAGGTGAGTATATAGCTTGCTGCAGAGACTGTGGGCAGAAGACAGTACATTATAAGTGCAACTGCTCCAAAGGTACTCTTACACTTTAGGGCCACAGGCAGGGCCGGTGCTTTCACTAGGCAAACTAGGCAGCTACCTAGGGCACACTGCTCTGCCTAGGGCACAGCCTTCACCACCCCCCCACGGTGCCCCCCATCTATTTCAAATTGCAAAAGCCAATAGCAGACTGGCTATTGCACCCGCCCAATGAGTAGAGGAACAGAACTGAGAGACAACTTTCTCTCTCAGGTCCGCTCCTCTGCTCAGTTGGTGAGGTTTCAATAGGCAGTCTGCTATTGGCTATATCAAATTGAAATATCCAATAGCAGTCTGGCTATTGCTCCTGGCTCCTGACATCCACCTGTTGCCTGTGGAAGCTAGCCAGCAGGAGAATGGAGCCGCATGGGGGGATTGGGGGTTGTGCCACAGGAGGGGGCTGGGGGTGCAAGTAGCTGGTCTTGCCTAGGGTGCAAAATAGTCTAGCACCGGCCCTGGCCACAGGCAAGACTTTTAACCAGCTGCTCATCATCTTTTTATGTAATCTGTGGTAAGCAAAGCATTTAAAACAACTACTAACTACAAGTAGCATTTCCTGATCAAGCTGAAATGAAACTGTCAGCTTGTAGGCGTACACAGAACTAAATGCCAACAGGCTATAAAGCCTACTATACAATAAAAGGTGCGTGAACTCATGAACTGTGGTGTGTTCCACAAAATATACGGTATAATCATATCTATCTAACTGTAAGCACTTTACTACTATGATGGGAAGGAATGGTGAGGTACAGACTGTATCAAGTTGTTGCAGTACATTGCAATTCTCAATATATAGTTGATTGACCTACTGTGCATACATATGCAGCAATAGTTGCTTTTTAGACAATCACTGTGTAAAAATAAAGCTTCTATATGTGGTTCTTGGTACATTTCATTTTGCACAATTGTTTGACACACTAAGATACATGTATTTATTTATTTGTATATATCCTGATAATTACAGTATTAGTGAGTGCAATTACTGTATTTGTATTTTTTATAGATGTAGATGTAATTTAGAATATTATATTATTCACATAGGTATGATTTAAGAGATGTGGATGATAAGGATTTTTATAAAGGAAAAGTACTTTCAATCTTCTCAAATAAAGACGATGTGTTCTGTATGTCATGTACGGTAGTATTTTTTTAAAGGATAAGTGCACCCTTAACTGCACCTTTGATGTAATTACATATACAGTATATTAAAGCTTGGACTCAACCCATATCCCCTGCCAGTCTTTTACTAATTGATCCCAAGTGCAGGCACAGATAGGTCACGAAGCCCCCGAGGTACTTATCAAAGTCTTCTGAGCTAGGCCCATGCATGTATTCCATTAGAGTCCAAATTCTCTGTAAGATTGCATAGAAAGAGTGCAGTACGTGCAGTCCTTTTTTCATCATTATCTTTAATATATAAAGCATCAGAAAAATACCCATAGCATTATATTACAAAAGGATGCAAATTAAAGATGGCAAATTAAACTATGTAGACACAAAAGGATGATGTACACAACAGGATGATGTGCACTGCGGACACAAACTCTATGCCAGCCCAGAGCAGTGTAAGACCTGCAATGAGAATCTAAGGTATAATATTTAGGAAGTTGCTGAAACTAAAATTAATATTATCCCTCAATAAGGATGACATCTACAGTACTTTACTCACAGAGAAATTCACACATGCCATGTTTTTGTAAAATATTCCTGAAAGAGGTTCTGTAACAAAACTAAATTACCTCTCTGAGAAGCTGTTAATGAAAACTGCTGTTCCCTTCTCTCTTAAAACCAGTTCTTAAAGAAATGATTTACAGAAAAGGAATCATTATACTCTTGAGGTGAATAACCCCTCCAACATTCCATCCAAACCAGCACACAAAGCCCTGATAAAGTGGACACGTATAGCTCCTGAAATACTTTGGCTCATTTGCTTCAGAGCTCTATCATTAAATAAAAACTTGGGGACTCCAAATCGATGCATATGCGTTCGGCTCGACTGAGCCTCTCGGCCACGTTCGGGAGCTGTACGGGCTATAGTGAATAGCCCGTACAGCACCCCTTCGGTTCTACTAAACCGAAGGGGTCCTGGGGCCGAAGCTAGCCGAAGGATCGGCCGAAGCTACGGCTAGATCCTTCGGCAGCTTCGTGAATAGACCCCTTAGTGTGGTGACCCTGTTTTCCCTACACACCATGCATTTCATCAAAATGGACGTATCTTTGCACAGAGGATATAAACTAATTCTTGATCCAACACCTCCTACCAATACTTGTACGTTCCCATCATGGGTCACATGTTTGTTCCACACTAGTGACTTTATGACCAGCGAGGCTAAAGAAGATTAACTTCACTGCCCTAGAACTAGTAAGCAGCTCATGGGATGGCTTCTACTACTAAGGGCTTCAAAGGCATATATTTTGCTTCTTGACAGATTCCTATTCAGTTATGATTAGTCTTCCCTATTTAATTGTAAGTAGTCTTCTGCTCTGGACTCTATTTTAAACTGCACTTTCAGACTTGCTCAGGTTTATTTTATTCAGGAAGTTAGTCAATAGACATGTGCATTCGGATTCGGACGAACCTGCAAATTAAGTTGATTCGGCGGTTCGTCCAAATCCGAAATAACGAATGTAATATATGCCCGAATATACTAAAACGATATTCAGGCATACATAAATTAGTTTTCAGAATACGCCGGTGGCCATATTGGCCGCCGGCGTGTTCTGCGCATGCCGGCCACCATCTTGGAGGTGGAGCCTATGCCGTCACATGACGGTGACATCACACGCTGAACGAGCGGCGGCCAAATCGCATCGCCATGTTGTAGTAGATTTTGGTATACACCAAGATAGCAGCGATTAAACATGCCCTGAGTACCTGCTGGCACTGTGCCTGCAGTGCACAGGGGTGTCAGAGAGCTGCTGCTCCACAGCTGCTCCGCAGCTCAACATCCACACCATCATTGGCTCTGGTGAAGACCAGCCGGCTCCTTAGATCCTGTGACTCTGGCACACCTGAGTTTGTTGTGCAGTCACACTGTCCCTCCATCTTCAGAGACCTGTATGCCTGCACATTCCTAATTTGGTCACAATATACTGCTCCGCAAGACCCATAGTTTACAATACCTGGTGCTCTAGTTCCCAAAGCGTGACAGCCTGTTTTTTCTATATTTACAAAAGTATCTGTGACACTTCATCTTGGAATATACAGATTTAGCTATTTGTTAGCTATTAGTTAATAATGTTGACAAGCACACTGTTTGCAACAAGTGTAATGGGGGTTGATGGAGGGAGGGGTAAGAGTAAGGCTAAATTTACCCTGCATTTGTGAACTACTGTTTATGGCAGCACTGC